GCCTCTCCTCCGACGAGTGGAGCTGCGTCAGGTGCGTTCTTGGAGCGAGTTTGAACAGCATCTCTGCTGGGGCTTCCCCTTTTACTGTATGTGGCGTATTCCTGCACTGGAACGACCACCTCTGGAGCTTCATGAGCAGGGGAGCGGGGCGTTGCTTCTTGATTCCGGTTTTCCCGAGCTTCGCCATGTATTCCGCTTGACCATTAGACGCAGGGAGAAGCGGAGGGGTGAAGACATGGCGGATGCCGTTGGCGCTTGTGAATCCGCTAAATTCCTTACTGGTGAAGCAGCTACCGTTGTCGCTCACGATCACTGCGGGGATCCCATGCATGGCGAAGGTGATTGTAGGTGGTCTACGGTCGTTCTTGTGCTGACGTCGTTGGTTATCCAGACGTCCGGCCATTTGCTTTACGCATCCACCACGATCAGGAGCATCTTGCCTTCTACAGGGCCAGCGTAGTCAACATGTACTCTGTCCCACGGAGCGTCTGGGTACCTCCATGGGTGAGAGGGCACTTTAGGCGCTGCTTCTTGGTGTAGCTGGCACGTATCACAGACTTTGGTGAGCTCGGCAATGTCTGAGTCCATCCCAGGCCACCAGATCTGACTGCGAGCACGACGTTTCATAGAGCAAATGCCGGGATGCCCTTCATGAAGGAGCTTGAGTGCCTTTTTCGCGGCACCGTGGTGGCATCACCATTCGGCATCCCCAGAGTAAGCAACCGCCCTTGATACTCAGTTCGGCATTTCGGCACTGGTACGTCAGGAGAGCTGGCGACACCTCTGACGACTTGGGCCATCCGTACCGGGTGTAGTGCAGAACTTCAGAGAGAACGGCATCTCTTCTGGTCCATTCTCGAACAGCGTCCACAGTTACCAGTCCATCAAGAGCTTCAAACATCTGGATGACTTCCATGAGCGGTGCTACTGCAGCCTCTGCCACCGTTTCAGAGGTTGGCAGGCGGCTGAGGGCGTCTGCTGCTGCATGCTGTTCTGCATTGCCGGAGACGTGTACCAGCTGGTACTGGTAGGCGTCCAGCGTGACCTTCCATCTCACCATGCGTGGTGGGACGGCTTCTAGCAGGTTTTTGGTATTCCAGAGAAACCCCAGGAGCGGCTTGTGGTCGGTTCTGAGCGTGAAGGATCTTCCATACACGAAGCTGTGGAGCTGCTTGACGGCGAAGACCAGAGCCAGACCTTCACGGTCGATCTGACTGTAGTTCTTTTCAGCTTGGTTCAGAGTGCGGGAGGCGAAGGCGATTGGGCGTTCTCCTTCTGGTGTCATCTGAGACAACACAGCTCCTAGGCCATAGTAGCTGGCATCTGCTGACACGATGTCTGGTGCATTACCGTCGAAGTGTGCGAGAAAGGGAGCCTCTGAGAGAAGAACGTTCGTTGCCCTGAAGGTGTCCCACTGCTCTGCGCTCCATTGCCACTCCACGTCCTCCCTCAGGAGTGCATACAACGGTGCGGCAACCGCACTCAGCTTCGGGCAGAAGCGGCTGTAGTGGTTTAGCATGCCGAGATACGTTCTCAGTTGCCCGACGTTTTCAGGATCTGGGGCGTCTCGCACAGCTTCCACCTTCTGTTCTGTTGGGTGCAGACCTTCCTTGTCGATCCGCAGCCCGAGGTAGGAGACATCTGCAAGTCGATTTCAGTCGTGGTACATGAAAACAAAAGTGCGTCATTTTCGTAATACTAACCCAACTTGCATGAAGGGAATACCTAGGGCATTCCAAGACAAATCGACAAATGCCTTACGCCCTCATGCATGGGAATTCGATTAAAATGGGTTCGATGGGCTGTCATCAACGCTGAAGTTGCCTGTGCCATTTTCAATGTCTCGGTTGCTCCGTTTCGGAATTATTATGACCTTCGGCAATTTCGAGAAGCGTAGTTGCAAGGCTACTTTGGATGGAAATTTTCTCCACTTGCTTGAGGGGTAATTCAGAAAACCTATCAGTTCAGATGATCAGAAAACTGTTCTGAATATTTGTGTGCCACTCTTGAAATTTTCATTACAAAATGAATAATAACCGAGGCATTATTAATTTTTGAAATGCTAGAAGAACAATTTCACGATGTGATATTGATTTTTTGTCCTTTGCATGTAAGAGACCAAAATTTGGTTCCAAAACTTTGAATATAAAAGGTGGGTATCCGCTTGGAAAGACATGGTCCGTGCACCGACGAATCATGAGTAACGCACGAAGACTGGGCGCGCGGCGCATCGCCGCAGCCAGCTGCCCCCCCCCCCCCTCATGTATACTGGCGGGGCCGGGGTAATTAGAGCGGGGGGGGGGGGAGGTGAGTGCATACCTTAAGGATGGTGTCGTCTTTTGTTCAATAAGGGCTACTCAGAAATCAGACACAGGTCCAATGATAGGTTCTTGGGCTAGTGCCTGTCGTGCGGCTGGAGCGTGTGGATGTGTGGGCAGTGTCTTGCGGTCATGAAACACTCAAGCAACCCCAGTTGTGCCGATCCATTGGGGAAGCGCAAAACGAGAGCACGGCGAAGTTTGTAGGGAGCATGCTGCCTTGCTTTGCACTTTCACTTTTTGTTAGATAAGACACGCCCGATGTGATCGGTAGTGGCAGTTTTCTCCAAATCCTTCCGAACAACTTAGAACTTCGATTTGAAGTAGCCACTACTGCGGAACGAATCCCACTGCACTACCTGCTCACCACGATGAAAGTAGTACCTTTAATTTGTCTTGCTTTTCCCAATTTGTGCGTGTGCGTGTGTGTTTGTGTGCTTACAACACACTAATATATCAGAATGTTTGCGTAGTAATTACTACGAAGGCTTGAGACGCTCTGTTCAGATAAAATATGTGCAAACGTGAGGCTGTTATCCCGCGAGCACTGCATCCCGGTGGGTAGCAGCGGCGCTCACGCGGTTTGCCTGGTCAGGTTCACTCACGTGAAGTTGTGCGGTCAGCTTCACGTGAGTGAAGCTGACGGTTGGATCTCTGGGTTTGCGAGATGTCACTTAAAAGGACTTACTGAGCCACGTATGTGATATTCAGAGGGAATCCTGCGTGATGGAGGAGTGTGAGAATAGTCCGCATTTAGGATAGTGTGCAATCGTTTTTGATTGACGCAACCAATGTGCAAGCAGAGGATCTTTTGGATTCGATCAATGAAATCAGATTTAGCCAGTGGGCGATCACTGAACGCTGCACTTTGGTACTCTCCCATCATTTTACCTATTATAAAAAAGCTTCACTTTCGATATCCAAGGTGACGTTCAGCAGTTTATTGAGGTGCACCACAACGCATGCAGCATCTTTTCGTGGTTTATTGAAAAGGACGTGAACAGATCACGTTCACGAGTCACTGTGCGTTGTCATACGTGATGAAAAATAACACCATTGCTGCCCATACGTTGCTGCAATACCTTTTACGGGAAGTGGAAAGCCTCGTTTCAAATAAAGAAGAATGAATTGCTTTTCAGATGGATCAGCTGCGCAGTACAAGACCAGTTTCAATTCTTTGAACATTTCCTTTCATGAAGAAGACTTAGGCATCAATTGCAGGTTGTATTAGGTTGTCATATCCCATGGAAAGAACTCTTGCGACGGGGTTTGGGGACTTGAAAAGGGCTCCTGCCAGTGCCACCCTGTCGCGCCTCCTTTCCCATAATTTTCTCTCTGCTGAGAAGCAGGGCATATTTGCAGGGCAAGGCTAATGTGCGGACGGCATGTTTCTTCGTACCAGAAGGAGAAGTCCTTCGGACAGAGCACGAGCCTAGGATCAGATTGGCGACGGCCAAAACCGTTAAAGATTACTTTAGATTCACAGAGTAACCCCAGTAAGTGCTTAGGCTCTCATTGTCCGGGAGTAAGCTTCAGGCGCTGGGAGGCAAGTAGCAGTCGCTTGGTTTCAAAAGTTTTGATGAGTCAGAATGACTTAGAATGAGTCACTGGCGCACTGAGTCGACTTCAACATGCGTGCGAGCCACCGTGTTGTAAAACTTAGTGTCTCCTCAAAATGTGTTTATTTTCCGCCGCCTGTGCAGAGTCATGTGGGAGACACTGCGCTGGTAGCGGACGACTGATGGCGCTAATGAAGTTTAGTCCCCGATAATGACATTGTTTTCACAGATTTCCATACCGATAACCATCTTTTTATTTTTCGACCCTCGGGCTCGGACTTGTTCTATCACATAGAAATGACAAAAGGTGACGAATCGGATAGGAGAATGATTCAACATGCATTACAGATATTCAAAATGCCATGATCAATATTTCTTGCACAAAAACGGCTTCAGCTACGGCTCACATGTAACCTGGAGCATTTTTGATTCATTTTGACGGACAGGTTTGTACAGTTTTCTTTCGTCGCAGTGAAAAAATCGCCGCCGAGCAGAGCCCTTCAACCACACAGCACGAAAATGCCGGTGGCTTTAGGTCTGAAAGCGCTCAACTGAAAAGTCTTAAAATGTCACAGGCGGCTTTAGTGCCCCTGACAACCATTATGACCCACATTTGACCGAAATTCGAGACACGAGTATGTAGAATTGACCCTTCGACCTGTCGATTTGTCGAAGCATACTGTCAACCACACAAACACGAAGTAGCGTTAGCACCACTCAAAATGAGCCCCACATTCTTAATTCATTCTCAGCGTTTAGACAATGATAAAACCAGACCAATTTGTAATCAATGTAATGAATTAATGACAGCCACGCATCTTCTTGATTGTCCTAAATGTCAACTAAATCATATTTCTCTCACACATTTTGCATCCAATCTCGGTCTTTCGTCATCCTTGCAAGCTATCATCCTGCTCTTAAATATTTTGCTGTTACCTTTCGGAAAAAGCAGCATTAATGTATATATATATATATATATATATATATATAATAGATTATCTCTCTCTTTCTGTCACTCTTTCTCTCTCTCTCTCTCCCCCCCCTCTCTCTCTCTCTCTCTCTTCTTACATATTGTAATTCAATGATACGTGGAAAGCAAACAATATTTTGTGTTCTTTCCCAGCCCAGATCGAAGAGGACACCCTGCGCCTGGACCAATCGTGCACTCAGACTTGCCAGCCGCGTTTTATTCGGTTGGTAGTTTCACCAGTAAAAACATCTACTGCGAGGTTTGTCAGCTGTCCTGCTCCAGTTCTGCTCCTTATAAACAACACCTAGAGAGTGTCAAGCATATCAAGACGGCTGCGCGGTTTAAGCGATCGTCACAATATATCTCTGAGGACGATGGAGATGGAGTCATCCCGCCGGCTAAATGTCGGCGACGGTGAGCATCACCCGGATGTTTCTAATCGTCCCTGCTTCTTGCTTCCTGCGTGCAGCCGTTCTCCGGTGTGGTGCAATTTCATGCTCGCCACCTCGCGGATATTTATGCTGGAAAAAAGCAGACAGGCCGATAAAAGAATTATTAGTTTAGTCATAGTTGAGGAGACAGTACTTACAAAGCGTTCAAGTTCGAATAAACCCCGGAATAGTTGCGGTCTAGAAGCTTATCACATGCCAAGTCTTAATCAATTGCTCAAAACTCAGCCGGCCACTCACCGGTCGCTGATTCTAAGCAAGCTGAAATGTACGTCATACTGATTGATTTAGTCACTTTCATGGCGCCAGCGCTATCATACAAATTGGACGGCAATTGAGAGGGTGCAACTAGGGCATTTCCTGTTCCCGATGCATTCTTTGACCATATCCATCGAAGAAAAGCCTTCTTTTTGTCCGTTTAGGCATATAGATGTGAATAACAGACGTAATGTGGCTGAGGACCCAGTTGTCAATTTAAGGCCTGTGAGCCTGTGAGGAACTCACCTTAGAGAACCGTTCACTTCTGTAAAGAGTAATGCTCACTGTCATAGATAGGAACCGAAAGTGACGAAATGTGACGTGCAAGGGACGATCTAAACTGAACGTGTAATGTTGATGTCATGTCTACTTGTGTCCCACGCGTGTGTAATGTCTGGGTAATCCATGGTGACCATATGTTCTACCCGGTTCTGATTCAGCTCGTCCCCGGGTGTGGGTCGGGTGCTGCAAAACGCCGTCTACTCGCAGTCGCCTGAGCCTCCATCCTCTCCTACGATCGCCTCTGAAGACATCTACTGTGAGGTTTGCCGGCTCTCCTGCTCCGGCCCCGCTCCGTATAAACAACACCTGGACAGTGCCAAGCACATCAAGAAGATCATGCAGTTCGGATGTTCTTTACGAGAGGTCATCAGTGACAGTGAGAGTGGCATAACGTCATCGGATGAATATTCCACGCGGTAAGCAGATCGCCACGTACAAGAGTGAGTGCTGGGGTCATTTCCGGTGGGCGATCAGCTTTTCATTGGCTTCTTGGTGGGGGAGTAAAATTCAATCAATCAACGAATGTACTAAAACGCGTAGCTAAACATTATTGTATAAATTGAGACATCCGTTGGTAACCTTTTGCTCATAAACACGAAAAATGTATGCCAAGCAGCTGTTACAGCTCCGGTTCGTTGGGATGCGCCGCACTCCTCACATGGGAAGCCACGTAATGTGCAACGTATGACGCAGCATGCTTCTTACGTGCGCCTTTCTTTTCCGTGTGCTGTGGATGTGGAACCCGCAGTTCTCAAAGATTTTGACGATCCGGCGTAGATGCCGTCTGACTGCACACACCATGGTCCTGAGTTTCTGAGCAGTCCTAGAAGAGCAATATCCGGACAAAAAATGGAATGGGAGAATGTCGAACGACAAAAAAGTCGACAGGGATAAAAGTCGTCAGAGATGAAAGTTGAATCGGAAAGAGTGGGAAGGAAAGCAGCCAAAAGAGGTAAAAGAAGACAGCAAAAAGCCTTCAGTGAGCAAGGATCGCTTTTGAGCTAGTGTTGGACTGAAACATTCCATCGCAAAAAGACCGTACAGGAGTTAAAAATTAAATTCCCAAAGTTGGAACTTGTAAATCGGTGAGAGATGTTCCGGTAAACAAAAACGTATATTTCAAGTCGGCCTGGACGTAATATCACAAACATGACACAAATGTTTTTGTTTTTAATATCTCAGGTCATTACACTGAAACAATACGTTAAAGAATAGCTATTTCATGATAGTGTGATGAGCACCAAAAACTACTTAATACCAATGTTTCGCTGCCGCACTTTGCACCTCCCTGCCACAGGATTCTTTAAAACGAAAATGCAAAGGGATTCAGCAACAAAACAACCAAAAATGCAACATGCATGATGTATCCAAACAAAAAACCTTGGACTCCTACACATCAACACATGACCAAATAAAAAACAGATATACCTCCATTTCCGTAAAAGTAGCCTTACTAAGCCTAGCCTAAACAAGCTCTACCTTATCTCATCCTGTCTAAACTATTTGTGTCACAACAGCATGTGTGATTGATTCTTGCAAAATTCCTACTGTCTCTTGTCCTACAGTTAACCAACTTACCGTAATTTAAGTGAGCCCATATGATGAACATCATCTCAACTGACTTCACCGATTTCTTCCCAGTAGCAGTTATGGTAAAAAAACGATCAAGCTTGTTTTTGGCTGGCGCTTTCAATGCAAGGCAAACGCATGCACTTAACAGCCCTAAACTCAGATGGGCCTTTTGAATGGCTCATGGGCTGCAATCATGGTTTGCGATCATGCGGGAAAGAGAGAGAGAGAGAGAGAGAGAGAGAGAAGAGAGAGAGGAGAGGAGAGAGAGAAGAGAGAGGAGAGAGAGAGAGAGAGAGAGAGAGAGGAGGGAGAGAGCGAGAGAGAGGGAGAGAGAAGAGAGAGAGCGAGAGAAAAGAGTGAAAAGAGAAAGAGAGAAGAGAAAGAGAGGGAGAGGAAAGAATAAAGACAGAAACGAGAGGGAGTTGCAGTACGCAGAAGGCATGACTCTACATTGAATTGTTTTTTCTCTCTTTCACAGCCCCACTGCAAGTGTGGATCAGGTGCTGCAGTCGGTAGTCACCAGTGACTCACCACAGTCGTTGCATTTTGCCTCGAACGCCCCCTACTTCTGTGAACTCTGTCAGCTGTCTTGCACGGGACCAGCTCCCTACAAACAACACCTGAATAGCGCCAAACACATCAAGATGGCGGTCTCTAGGAGCATGTTGCAAAGGCAAGTCGCGCCACAGTTTGAACAACGGTGGTTCTGGTAGCGCACGGCAATGCGTGGCCTGCCTATTTTCAGACAGATGTGCCTAATTTTGTCAGATTTCAGCGGCTCGTGATGTCGGTTAGGTTTGCTTTACAGAATAGTTGAAACAAGACACCTGTTTTCGGCATCCGTCTGCTTTGTTCGAGCTACCGTCCGTTTCTGGTATATTACTGGATATAGATACACGATGAGCATGCACCCACACCAGCCGACCATAATTCGAGCCATTGTTTCAGCTGTCAGATCTCATTACCTTCAGTTCATTAGACCTAAAAGTAGCGAACACTTACGGTTATGTCAGCGCTGGCGCTGACCGAACTGCCCGTGCCCAGGTCCTCAGCCGCATCGCCCCGTGCTTCGCCATCACCTGGCCTGGACCAGGACCCGGCTGGGCTGGCCTCGCCCCGGCACCTGTGCTCGAGGAGCTCCTGGTCGCCGACCTCTTCCGTGCCGGGTGGGCTCGCGTCGTCCCCCGGCGCGTCCCTGCCGTCGTCCGGCGCTGCCGTTTACTTGCAATCACCCGAGCCTCCGTTCTCTCCTATGATGGGGCCTGGACACGACTATTTCTGTAAAGTTTGTCGGGTGTCCTGCTCCGGTCCTGCTCCTTTTAAACAGCACCTGGAGAGTGTCAAACACATCAAGATGGCCGCGCATTGCGAGCACCAGCCACCAGAGGTCGCCGAAAATGTTGATGGTAGCATCACGTTGGCGGATGCGGATCCACCGCGGTAAGGAAAGTAGGCAATGTAGTGGTGCCACGAGGCCTGGTCCGAAATCGGACATTGAGGGGATGTGTATTGAAAACCTCTGAGCTGGTGTTAAAGACATTGAGGGCCATGTGTACTGAAAGCTCCGAGCTGGTGTTAAACTTTGAACCATTGTGTGCTCATTGAGTCGACGCCTTTGTTGGATTGCTATTGAAACTTGCTTTACTTGCACGTCGCCTTACACCGTTTGTTTTGTGTTTAAGGTAGCTAGATTTTCCGCGACGTGGCGTGGGTATGCAGGTTCATCTGTGGGGCGATGCGCGAGTTGTGATGGGTCGGCTCGGCCAATCACCCCCTAGGCCTCCGGTCCTGGCGCAGAGACGTCATCATTGGCCGCTGTTCGTTTCTGATTCAGTCTCCGTGGAAAACAGTCTCTGTGGAAAAAGTTTGTGAGAGCATTGGAAAACTTCCCCACAAATGTGATAACCTTTCCGTCCGTCAAGATGCTTCATGATAAGAGCGAAACATTTCGCCGTGCTTTTAATGCAAGGCAGACGCGTGGTCTTAAGAGCCCTAAGCTCAGATGAGCCGTTTGAACGGCTCATGGGCTGGAAACATGGGTTCCAATCATGCGGGAGAGAGAGAGAAAAAAAAGAAAGAAAGAAAGAAAGAAAGAAAGAGAGGGAGTGCAGTACCCAGAAGGCATGACTCTACATTGAATTGTTTTTTCTCTCTTTCACAGCCCCACTGCAGGTGTGGATCAGGTGCTGCAGTCGGTAGTCACCAGTGACTCATTACAGTCGTTGCATTTTCCCTCGAACGGCCCCTACTTCTGTGAGCTCTGTCAGCTGTCTTGCACGGGACCAGCTCCCTACAAACAACACCTGAATAGCGCCAAACACATCAAGATGGCGGTCTCTAGGAGCATGTTGCAAAGGCAAGTCGCGCCACAGTTTGAACAACGGTGGTTCTGGTAGCGCACGGCAATGCGTGGCCTGCCTATTTTCAGACAGATGTGCCTAATTTTGTCAGATTTCAGCGGCTCGTGATGTCGGTCAGGTTTGTTTTACAGAATAGTTGAAACAAGACACCTGTTTTCGGCATCTGTCTGCTTTGTTCGAGCTACCGTCCGTTTCTGGTATATTACTGGATATAGATAACGGTGAGCATGCACCCACACCAGCCGACCATAATTCGAGCCATTGTTTCAGCTGTCAGATCTCATTACCTTCAGTTCATTAGACCTAAAAGTAGCGAACACTTACGGTATGTCGCGCTGGCGCTGACCGAACTGCCCGTGCCAGGTCTCTCAGCCGCATCGCCCCCGTGCTTCGCCATCACCTGGCCTGGACCAGGACCCGGCGGGCTGGCCTCGCCCCGGCACCTGTGCTCGAGGAGCTCCTGGTCGCCGACCTCTTCCGTGCCGGGTGGGCTCGCGTCGTCCCCCGGTCAACCCACTCCGCCGTCGCTCCGCACACCCTCTCCGCCGTCCCCTCCGCCGTCCTCCGGCCCGCCCTCTCCGCCGTCCCCTCCGCCGTCCCTCGGCTCGCACCCTCCGCCGTCCCCTACGCCGTCCTCCGGCCCGCCCTCTCCGCCGTCCCCTCCGCCGTCCTCCGGCCCGCCCTCTCCGCCGTCCCCTACGCCGTCCTCCGGCCCGCCCTCTCCGCCGTCCCTTCCGCCGTCCCTCGGCTCGCCCCCTCCGCCGTACCCTACGCCGTCCTCCGGAGTGTCTTTTCCGCCGCGGCTGCCGGCCGGCCGGGACGCGATGACGGTCACACTGCCGCCCGACATCGCGGCCGCCTGCAAAGCCATCCGACTGGGCAGCTGGCTGCGCCAGGAACTTGACCGGTTCGGCGACAGATCGTCGCCGGTGCTGCGCTGGGTCTCCGATCTGACCAGCCGACTGCCGTCCGAGGGACTGACTGCCTTTCTGGAGGACATACCGCTTGTCACGACTTGGCAGCCCTTCTCTCACCGACGCTGCTGAAGTGTTGCGGTCACCTTGGGGGTGCGTCGAGTGGAACCTGCTCTTTCCTGTCGGTGATGTGGAGGAATTCGCTCTTTTCTAGTGGACTGTGTGCTGTTCGTTACGCATGATCAACGCAACATGTTTTGAGCTGAACCACAGAGACGCACGTCAAAGTGTAACGTATGGCGCGGCTCGTCCGCCAACTGCGTACAATACGAATGCTGGGTCGGTTTGGAACACTGCAATGGCAATCCCCGAGCATCGTCACTGATTTAACAGGCTGTAAATCGTTACCTTTACTTAAAGTGTCTTTTGCGATGAGTGTTATGGCCTGAGGGTAAAGGCCTGTCTAGGTAAATAATTTTATCAAGCATTCGTGTTAGGTCGCGCTTGCCCGGCTAAACTGCAAGCTCGAGTCGACACGTTTCTGATCTATGAATTAAAGTCAAAATTTATTTTGATTGAATTTAAATAAAGTTTGTTTATTGAAGTGCATCTGGAGCTTAAATCTGATTTTGGTTAAGGCCTATTTTGAAGTGATGCGTCGCTTAAGGAAAGGCTCAGGCCATGGATTGATCATGCGTGATGTAAGTGACCAAAAATGATGTCTAGTCATTTTTGTTTGTTCAACACGTTATTGATGTGATTAAGCTTGAGGCTTTTTAGCATCGCAATGAATGAACATGACGAACATCATAATTTCTACTTGTATTATAACACGGTTCACATGTGTTTGTTTGTGACTGGATAAGCCCGGCGCCAGTACCTGTCAGCACATTTTTGTTTTCTTGGATTGTTTTATTCGCTGGCATTGCATCCCTAGAATTCAATCCAAACGCTCCTTGCTAGCGTCTCTCTCAATTTGTAGACTGGCACGGGAGCGAGCGCACGTAGTGTTTGTCAGTTTGTTGTACTCCTCAGTCTGACCCCGACGTTTGTCAGATTATGTACAACATACGTGCCCGAGGGCCTCCCTGGCCTCGCTGTAGATAAGGCGCGATGGTCGCATAGCTTTCTGATGCAGCAGCAGGCTGGATCACGCCATTATCGCTCGTGGGGCCAACGTTTTGGAGGTGCTGCCGCTCACCTGATGCGCGGGACCTCCTGCTAGCTGGCAGATGGCCAGCCGGCCGTCGCGCGGCGCGCTGTGTCATCTGGTGACGCCAGGCCAGGCGTGACGTGCCGGTGGCTGTGACCACAGACAGTAGCTGGGCTGGCTGCGTCGGCTGTAATGTTGCTCTGCCGACCAGCTGATCGTAGGATTATTGGTGGCAGAAGTGGTATTCGTCACACGTCACAAGTCCACCGGCGGCGGTCCGGTGATGTCGTGATGCTATTGTGATACCCAATGTGGGGATGCTATTGCTTCAGCAAATTAGCTGTAGAATATTTCATAAAATAAATAAATAGATTAACGTCCCGGCAGCCGTCTTTGGAGGGTTTGGTGCCGCTGAACTGGTGTCCAGTATCCCGACATGCGTTTTACTCCGGTTGGGGTCGAAGTCGACCCTGGAGTGACGTGTTTCCGTTCAGTTTGGTTCGAATCAATTATTTTGAATCTTTCGGTAAATCAGCGTCAATTAAGGCACTTCCATTGCCTAGAATAATCGATGTCCCACCTAATTTGAAATGTTGGGTGGTATTCGTTTACGAAGTGTGACGCCATAAGCTAGGTGGGGGCGTAGTTTCGCAATGTAGTTTCCCAGTGAGTTGGGGGGGGGGGGCAAAAGTGAAAAATGACGAAAGTTAACCCCCAAATAGAATCCAGCGCACCGTTTTTTCCCCGGAATACGCCCATTTCCTTTCCAAAGTTAGGAAAAGTAGAGCTCCTCAACCAAATGGGAAGCGACACCCCTAGAAATAGGTGTGTTACGGTGTTTCCAGACTTGCGTTGTGAGCAGGCTCTCATATGGCTACACCTCTTCAAATTACGCTAACTGGGTTCACGCGATCAAAGTCGACCTAGGAATCGTCGTTTGGACGAAATCGAGGACCCAAAACTGCTGTGTCGCTCGAAGTCAGGTTCGGAAGAAGCCCTGATCCGTGCGTTGCGAAGTAAAGACGGCAATTAATTCTGCTAGGCATAGTCAAACGCAAGTCCGGTGGTGTGAGATTGCGGTACTAACCTGGTGTTACGGATTGCTGTTTACCTTCGACTAACATGTAAGTTTGGGGCAGCATGCTGAGTTTCTGGAAGGCGAGTGAATTGTAATCAGAAGTGTTCACCTCTTGTAGTTGGCAGAGTATTCGTCCGGACACCAAATACAAAATACTCAGACGTGCTTCCACAAAATAGGGCTGTAGATCCTTTGCGGATCGGGAGAGGGAGGGGTGTCTAGCTAGACCCATCGGGAGAGGGAAGTGTGTCCGGACCCTCTCCCTATGCGGATCGGGAGAGGGACGGGTGTCTGGACCCATCGGGAGAGGGAGGGGTATCCGGACCCTTCCCTATGCGGATCGGGAGAGGGACGGGTGTCTGGACCCATCGGGAGAGGGAGGGGTGTCTGGACCCTCTCCCTATGCGGATCGGAAGAGGGACGGGTGTCCGGACCCATCGGGAGAGGGAGGGGTGTCTGGACCCTCTCCCTATGCGGATCGGGAGAGGGACGGGTGTCTGGACCCATCGGGAGAGGGAGGGGTGTCTGGACCCTCTCGCTATGCAGATCGGGAGAGGGACGGGTGTCTGGACCCGTCGGGAGAGGGAGGGGTGTCTGGACCCTCTCCCTATGCGGATTGGGAGAGGCAGGGGTGTCCGGACCCTCTCCTTATGCGGATCGGGAGAGGGACGGATGTCTGGACCCGTCGGGAGAGGGAGGGGTGTCTGGACCCTCTCCCTGTGCGGATCGGGAGAGGGACGGGTGTCTGGACCCATCGGGAGAGGGAGGGGTGTCTGGACCCTCTCCCTCTGCGGATCGGGAGAGGCAGGGGTGTCCGGACCCTCCCTGAATCTTTAATAAGTTTACCTGGAAGCATTTTATGTCTAGACGAGTTGGGAAGATTCGCTGGGCTCCATGTGCTCTGATAGGAGGTTTGCAGCCATGGCACTAATCAATGCGTCATGGTCTCTGGAATTTCGAGCTAATGCCTGTGTGCCGCACAATATTCGACGCCCTCCGTTCCCTATGTGCAAGGAACGGAGTTTGTGGAATTCATCTAGGCTCCTGCTTTTGAAGGGAATGTTCCACATTTGAAGATATTGAAGCAAGCATCAATTTTGATGAAATAGGCTCACTTAAAACTATTGGTATGCTCTGAGTGGAAACGACTGCTCTAGACAACATAATCTCTCTGTTAAGTAAATATGATCCTCAATATGGCAGTGTTTAATTGCGTCATTGCACATTGAACAACATTGATTAAAAGACAGTTGAGGGCCGTTATATTTGAAAATGGTGCTCACGAACACCAGATTTGAGCGACTCGACAATTTTATTTTTATTGGTCTTGACCGCCGCACAGCTGGTGGAATGACAGGCTTTGAACAACATTATTATTGTGCCGTAGATGCCTGGATGACCTTGAAATAGTCTTCCCGACATGGTCCGTGATTTTCGTGATCGTGTTGCTAAGAAACTAGAGGGGTTCAAGTCTTAAGAAGGGCAAGGCTGTAAACTGCACCGAATGATCGTCAAGATGGCTATTTCAGTTAAAAGCAAAATACCAATGTGGGGCACTCCCTTGTAAGTACGAAGACCACATGGCTTTGCCCCCTCGCAGGCAGCAAAATATTGGTGTCATTTATACTCAACCGTCTCTGCAGATAGTC